AAGTGATTTCCAAAGTCGTATAACTTACTGTCAGAGACAATAGCTGCTGATTTTTTTTTTTTAACTGTAGCATATTATGGCAGAAGAAACTAACCTCCAGAAAAATGATTTGCTCTTTCTTCTATCTCCCCTTATCTATGTTTGTCTCTTATGGAGTAACATGCGTTTGAATAAATCACCTCTGAGTTAAAGACTTAAATGACAAATGCATTGTCTCTTTGGTAATTAATTACTGATTGTTGACCACACTGCGTCCTTCAACTCTGAAACGTTTTTGACTTTAGAAGTTTCCTTCACTGCCGTCCAACCACTGTATCAGTGGAACTGGTATAATGGTGCGGTGAATCACATGCTCATGTTGGCATTGGCAAGGCATTAGCATACTAGGAGAGAAAGATTTGATGTGAGACGTTTGGACTGAAAGAGAAACAGACGAGGTCAGTATAGACATTTGTCGTATCCCTCAGAAGGAAAGAAGTCTTGGCCAAGTTTGATCATCTTAGGGTCTCTTTCCTGATTTCCTTGCTTCTGGTTTCTTTTAGCCTCTCCGGCCCTGACCGTCTTGGATTACTATATCTGCTGTTCACACTGGCCTCTATGGTAAGCTTCGGCAGCTCTTCGTCCCCCCTGTCCCAACGTATAATCACACATGATGCTCCCATTGAGATTAGCGCAGATTCTTTTCGACCAAACTCTCTCTTCTGTCTATTTTTGCTCATCTTCTGACTATCAAGCAAATTTCCAACTAGATGGTCACAAGATAGCCATAACATGGATGCTAAATGGTTCTTGTCTCTTCACACATCCTCCCCCAAACTGCCTCTCCCTAAATTCCAACTCCACGAAATGCAACCTCCCCCACTGCTTGTCAATCAGAATTTGGTGTTCAAATTAAACTCTTCTTTCTCCCTTTCATCCATCATCATTTTGACCTCCTAAATATTTCTGTGGCGCATGCACTCTCTGTCACTTCCTGCCAACTTGTCTGTCGCTATCTCCTTACCTGTACAACAGTGATGATATCCTAATAGCCTCCCCACTCATCCATTCTCCACTCAATCCATTTATTGAGTCATCATTTTTAAAATACTGATGCGTGCACAGTGGTGCAACCTGCATAGGCATTTTGGGACACCAAGGCAGGATGCTTTAGGCCAGGAATTAGACTACACTGGACAGTAACCCAGACCCATGCTCACAAACAATACAAATAAAAACTTATGCCTCAGCTTCTCTCTGTTTAAAAACATCATCGGCTTTGCTTCCCTCTTCATCTCGCCTGTACCTTTCTCCCGTTATCTAATAAACACTCAAGCCCCATGGCTGCCTTCCTCCTACAGGTGTGAGGCTCTGCCCACTCCTTCGGCCTCCCCACATTTTTCTCTCTGCCTGAATCTTTCCCGTCCAACTCCCTTCCACTTCTCCCAGCATCATGCTAATTCTCTCCTAGTTTAATTGTCAGATCCTACAAAACTATTTAACCGTGATATCCTCACATAGCGTCCTACTTTTGTCTGTTCAAAACCCGAATTCAGTTTCTAATTATAATCATTTGTGACTTTGCCTTCCCAACATAGCTATTTTGATTTCACCACTCTATGCCCAGCATATAAAAACTTCCTACATGCAGCGCAGTCAATATTATGCTGAATGGCAAGGAGCCACTACCTGAGAGGATTTTGGAGATAATCTAGATTTTCTTTTCTTGATCAGTTCCAGCCAAAGTCGCCCTTGTGATATGACTTAACTTCCATGTAGCTGGACAGTCCTGGGCAGACACACTGATTGTGAGGATTATGGAGGTCAGATATTGTTCTTAATTTTGAAGAGATGTTTGACGTACTCGCTCACGTGGTTTAATTCATTCGTCTGTCTCTGCCCGGGAACGTCACTGTGGGCTCTCAGACCTGAGGTCAGGTCCTGCCACATTCATCATAGAAATATCCCATGAGGCTTCGTTGCGTTGACGTTGCAGACCTTTCCCCTCAGTGGCCTTGCATATTACGCCGACGTAACCATCTTTTTTTGGGAATCGTCTGCATGAGTAACTTAGGAAGTCTTGCAAAATTTGCCAGTACTAAAGATAAAGTTATCCAGATTTAGTTTTTATCATGTGTGCCACGAGTTGGAATGAGCAGTGCCTAGCCATCCAGGTCCTTCTGCAGCCAGATCTTTGGCCTGAAATTCTGTTGCCATTTGTTTACGGGGACTGGCACAACTGACGAGACTAAGATTGGAAAAGTTAATAATATAACCTTAACAATAAGTTCATTGTTTTCACTGCCCAGGACTAAGCGTTACACCATCAGGCTCATTTATTCTCATCATGACTCTGCAAGCATGGTCAGGTTAGCACCTAATTTACAGGGATCAGGAACATGCTTGGAAACTTTGTAGGAGTCATGCTAAGTGGCTGCTGGATGTGAACCTTGATCTGCCTGACATCTCACCACTGAGCGGTAGCAGAATAATTGCTCCTCTGACTGACACAGTCACGCTGGTTGCTGTGTACCATCGTCGTTTAGTACCTAATTCCTGCTCTCCCAGGTCTGATGGTAACAATGCTGAGGCTAACACAAGTTGGGTAAAACGTTGTTGACTTGACTGGTCAGTTAGGTCCACCACAAGTGAACTGGCAGTCTCTCGTCTCTTAATTCTCGCTCTCAAGGGGAGAAACTGACTCATCATTGCCAGCACCTGACTCAGTTCTGCTCGCTCCTGATAGGAGACCACGTGTGTGGTTGTGTGTGTTGTGTGTGTGGTTGATCGAGAGGTGCAACTGCAGGGTTTCCTATAGTTGAATCATGGTAGGGTTGCCCTGTGGAAACCTGAGGAAGTCCAGGATTAATGAGAGAGAGGCAATAAAGTCATGTAGCACAAACGTAGCAAGAAAAGGAACTGGATCCTTCAGTAAAAAACATAATGATACAAGCAAAAGAGAATATAGAACCCACATATATCATCGTATCAATTTAGCAACTCCCACTCATGATCCCCAAAGCATATAATCTTAATATAAATAATGTAGAAGTAGTAAGACTGGGTATTTGAATATTGCAGCTTGCTCATGATGTTTTAATTATTCTTAAATGAGCGTAGTATAGAGGGAATCACCACAAATAATGGATCAACACTTATCCTACAGTGCCAGAGAAGGGCTGGCTGATACCGCGCCACCTGCAGGCTCGAGTCACATGGCGTCATCATCTTAACGCACTAATTGAGAAAAGAGGACTCTAGGAGTCGCGCTGAATGGTGACTGGAGATCACTCTTGAGGCCTTTCAGGTATTTGAGCGCATAGCGACCGGAGTATTCCCCAGCACACTCGGAAATAGCAACGACCTGTCTCTTATATAAAAATAAAAAAAATTACCTGTCGTGTAGCTCGTCCTTAGAGTCCAGCTCTTATTAACGATGAGGCCAGATTCACCAGCTACTCAGCGAGGCTACCAAGATACTTCATTCATTTATTGTTAGCAGATCGGGCCAAACTGAGGCCGGCACGGAGTTTAGAGCTCTGCAAATGTCGAGTGGAGTTGACTCTGTGTTACAAAGTAACTAAATCTGGCACATACTTCATTAGAAATGCAAGTGTGCAACCATGTGCCGCACTACTAGCCAGGGATTCCACACGAGCTTCCCTACATCGCAGACCATTCTCAGCCCCCAACTCTGGGTAGGATGGAACCTACCCACGCCGTAAGTCTGGGTCCCCGAACAACTGTAGAAAAGGTGCCTGCCTGACCTGTTCATAGCACAGTCCTGTTGTACGAGCAAGAATTGAGTTTCTATTATGTATATTTAATTAAAAATTTGGGGGTTTATTGTCACAGCTATTAGCCTATCCTAAACAGCAACCACCCATTCTAGATAAGCAAGAATTTATCAATGCTATCCTTTATTTTATACCTGCCCTAAGTTAATAAAGGAATAAAAAAGGAGGGCTAATAAAGAGATGTGAAAAACGTTTAAAGCAAATTTTCAAAAACAATTGTACATAAACATTTTTCTTAAATTAACTAAAGTAAGCTTTTCTACAATGCTCTCAAGTTCTGTTTGTGAAAAAGTTTGAAAAAGTTGTCATTCTTTTCCTGTGTTGTCTAGATAATAAAAATAAGTGTTAGGCAGTAGAAATTGTTATTTCTCTGATATTTTGTAGTTTGCATATATTTTATCAAATTTCTCTAATCTAAAATTTCATAAAAGAATCTTTTCCTCTTAGATACTTACAGATTTTTTTCTTATTTTGAGCTGAAAACAGCTCTACTTACATAAATTTATTGCTTAATAAATTAGGTAATCTTACAAACAGTAACTTTAGAATTCACAAAATAGATAAGGACCAAAAACACAAAAATAACTCACTTTTGTAAAATACACATAGCAAATTATGCAATAAGTATTAAAGTTTTTAAACTTTGGTATTCCAGGAAGGAGATTATTCTCTTCATCATTCTCATTGATGCCTTTTATAAGTTGTCCTCTTGATTTTGTAAGTTGTCTTCTTAATTTTTCTTCATCCAAATATAAGCCTTTCATTATATATAGTGTTATGAGTACTAGAAATACACCACTGGATAATGTATCTTTTAAATTTGTGGAGCTTGGAAACAATGTGTAGGAGACACTATAGAGTAATAAGAAATATGCTACTATTTCCAATTCTAAATACTTAACAGTTTTTAAAGTTGTGCTCTTTGTATCATACAGTGCCGAAAAAATCTGAAGTTCTGAGTACTGACTTTATTTTTTCAGGGCCCAGAAATTAATGTTAATGTGAAACAAGCACAAAATAATAATGAATTACATTATAGAACTGGAACATGGAGCCTCAGACTTTAATGGTTTAGACGTGGAAGACATAACATTAGGAAAAACAAACTTTTCTTTTGTGTGAGGGAATCACAATTGTTATTATTCTTTAAACACTGCCTAAGCATTTTGATTAAGACATTTTTATCCTCCTCATAGCATTTTCCTTTTTGAAAAAATAGCTTTATTTTCATATTTTCCATGTTTTATTCCTACATTAAAGCTATTATACTTTAGAAACCCATTATCACTTATTGGCAATATAAATAATTTTGTGCTTTTCGATCACAGCAATGTCGTGTTCCAGCTGCTTCATTTCTTCTTCCAGCTTCTGCTTGCGCATCTTTTTTGGGGTGGAATCTATGAAGACAGAGAGGGACTGGAACTCTTTGTGTACCTCCTCCCAGTTCTTTTTCAGTCCCTGCAAATAAATGGTAAAGAAAACTGTAAACACTAAAGTCAACTGCAAAAAAAAAAAAAAGGAAAATGGAAAAGCAAAGTGGTAATGAAAAATATAAATAGGTAAAGAAAACATGAGAATAACTTTCAAAACGATATGTACTTATCAAGTACTTGGCCACAGTAACCAAAAATACTGCACAGAGGCCAAATCCTTTCCTTAACTGTGTGCTGAATTCCCATTGGGAGTATTTATTCGCTCTGTTTTTAATGTTACTGTACTTGTTTTTTATCATCCGATAGTGCATGCAGGGTTATGAGTAGTATGAAGCTAAAGCTCAGAGCAAATGCTTTGGTTAAAAAGCAACAACAACTTAGAATGGACAGCCCCATGTAAAAACCATTTTTGTAAAGGAATTTTTTTCTTATGAAATTTTTACTTTGTTTCTTTAAAAATTTCTTTTTTAGTCACATTCTTTGACAGAGAAATCACATCAAAAGACCTAATTATGACTTACATGACTATATTTTCTTATATTTGACAAAAATACCAAAATTCAATTTTTAAAAAGTGATCTTTTGTAAAATTCTTAATATATCTTTTCAATACATTAGAACACATCGCCCTCCATATAGTCAAGGGATCTCTATTTCCTATTAATGTATTCTAGAAACAACTGAAAGATGGTTAAATGTGACACCCATGCTCATGCAATAAATAATGTAGTTAATGTTTTATATTCTCAGAAATCAACAAATTCAAAATTACAGATCTCTCAGGAGCCATAAGGGTTATTTCCATCCCTGTATAGTGATCTTTTCTTATCACAGTGCACTAGGAGCTCCACTGACAAAATGGTCTTAAAACTACTAATTAAATTCATTCAATAAAATGTTATAAATGAACACTTTTTATTATTTATTCTGGGCGCACAGATGATTTTCTTCACACAAAAACAAAAGGCAAAACAGAAAGCGCGATTTAAAATATTGCCTTGAAAACATGGTCCTTGGAAACCATGGCCATACATTTAGGTCTAAAGGTGGATTAATAATGTGTTATATAATAATTCCTTCATCATAAGCCCTCATAGTTCCAATTTAATCTCGTAGAAACTTCTTGGGGACAATAACGTTTCAATGATTGATCCCAGGCTTAGGTAAAGGTGACGGTAGGCTAGAGCACGCTATACAGAACAGGCTATTTGAGGGAAAGGTTGACACCTTATTGAGTGAGAATAGAATCTGGGAAAGGGAAACGAGAGAAGGAAAAGTATCCAGATTAAATTTTAAAAAGAGAGGGGTAGGTTAACGCAATTCATAATGGTGTATGAGATGGATTCTAAAAAGAGGTCCTCAAAAGAATTCTGTTTCTGCACAGTCTTTCATTATGAAATGTGAAATGGTCCCCACAGTGCCCTGCAGGCGGCCACCACAGAGAGGAAATCTATGTATTTAGACACTTTCAAATATCAAAGGTTTTCCTTAGCTAGTTGGGTGATATTTCCATATTACTTGTGGTCACAGCAGCTACACTTTTTTCCTCTGTATTTTCTTTTAAAGCATAGTTTGCTTTTATCTTCCAGTGTGTACAATAACGTTCGGATCAAAGTCAACAGCGAGGGATGGAAACTCAATGTAACTAATATTTCACATGAGAGTGAAATAGGCTCCTTGCTGTTTCTAAGCCTTTTTTTTTTTTTTTGGTTATTTCATCTAAAAAAGATCTTTTATCCATTGCAGCAATAGCGATTTTCCCTTATTTTTATTTCTTTATTTTTCTCTCTTCTATTTTAATGCTGAAATAATATTGGGAATTTTGGGAAAAATTCAAACAGGGAGAAGTGGACCTATAATAAGAAGTATTTTTATATAATAAGAAGTGCACCCCCTCCTCCCACGGCAAAACCTTCTCCCCCTTCTGGCCCTGCTGTGTGACTGGGGGAGAGGGTGGGCGTTAAGCCTCGAGGGCTGTTCCTCTGGCTCTCTCTCCCTCTGGCAGCTGAGTGAGTTCAGCTCCAATGCCTGTTAATTAAGTTTTCATCTAAAAAGACCTAAAACTTGCGACAGTTTTGCTTTACTTCATTCTTCCCAGTTGCAAAAATCTTGGGGTTGGTAACTTTGCAAATCATGGATTCTTGGTCCACCAGCACTTTCTGATCTGTACCGTTGAGACAAATTGTTTGAGCTAAGTTTAATCTCAATATTTTTATAGATGGGCCACTATGACGGAAGAGGTTGACAAAATCATTCAGGTTTTTTGTTTTATAGATGAGGGAATTAAGGTTGGCGCACTAAGTGATTCCAGAAGTCGTATAACTTACTGTCAGAGACAATACTCTGATTTTTTTTTTTTTAACGTAGCATATTATGCAAAGAACTAACCTCCAGAAAATGATCTTTGCTCTTTTCTCCCCTTATCTATGTTTGTCTCTTATGGAGTAACATGCGTTTGAATAAATCACCTCTGAGTTAAAGACTTAAATGACAAATGCATTGTCTCTTTGGTAATTAATTACTGATTGTTGACCACACTGCGTCCTTCAACTCTGAAACGTTTTTGACTTTAGAAGTTTCCTTCACTGCCGTCCAACCACTGTATCAGTGGAACTGGTATAATGGTGCGGTGAATCACATGCTCATGTTGGCATTGGCAAGGCATTAGCATACTAGGAGAGAAAGATTTGATGTGAGACGTTTGGACTGAAAGAGAAACAGACGAGGTCAGTATAGACATTTGTCGTATCCCTCAGAAGGAAAGAAGTCTTGGCCAAGTTTGATCATCTTAGGGTCTCTTTCCTGATTTCCTTGCTTCTGGTTTCTTTTAGCCTCTCCGGCCCTGACCGTCTTGGATTACTATATCTGCTGTTCACACTGGCCTCTATGGTAAGCTTCGGCAGCTCTTCGTCCCCCCTGTCCCAACGTATAATCACACATGATGCTCCCATTGAGATTAGCGCAGATTCTTTTCGACCAAACTCTCTCTTCTGTCTATTTTTGCTCATCTTCTGACTATCAAGCAAATTTCCAACTAGATGGTCACAAGATAGCCATAACATGGATGCTAAATGGTTCTTGTCTCTTCACACATCCTCCCCCAAACTGCCTCTCCCTAAATTCCAACTCCACGAAATGCAACCTCCCCCACTGCTTGTCAATCAGAATTTGGTGTTCAAATTAAACTCTTCTTTCTCCCTTTCATCCATCATCATTTTGACCTCCTAAATATTTCTGTGGCGCATGCACTCTCTGTCACTTCCTGCCAACTTGTCTGTCGCTATCTCCTTACCTGTACAACAGTGATGATATCCTAATAGCCTCCCCACTCATCCATTCTCCACTCAATCCATTTATTGAGTCATCATTTTTAAAATACTGATGCGTGCACAGTGGTGCAACCTGCATAGGCATTTTGGGACACCAAGGCAGGATGCTTTAGGCCAGGAATTAGACTACACTGGACAGTAACCCAGACCCATGCTCACAAACAATACAAATAAAAACTTATGCCTCAGCTTCTCTCTGTTTAAAAACATCATCGGCTTTGCTTCCCTCTTCATCTCGCCTGTACCTTTCTCCCGTTATCTAATAAACACTCAAGCCCCATGGCTGCCTTCCTCCTACAGGTGTGAGGCTCTGCCCACTCCTTCGGCCTCCCCACATTTTTCTCTCTGCCTGAATCTTTCCCGTCCAACTCCCTTCCACTTCTCCCAGCATCATGCTAATTCTCTCCTAGTTTAATTGTCAGATCCTACAAAACTATTTAACCGTGATATCCTCACATAGCGTCCTACTTTTGTCTGTTCAAAACCCGAATTCAGTTTCTAATTATAATCATTTGTGACTTTGCCTTCCCAACATAGCTATTTTGATTTCACCACTCTATGCCCAGCATATAAAAACTTCCTACATGCAGCGCAGTCAATATTATGCTGAATGGCAAGGAGCCACTACCTGAGAGGATTTTGGAGATAATCTAGATTTTCTTTTCTTGATCAGTTCCAGCCAAAGTCGCCCTTGTGATATGACTTAACTTCCATGTAGCTGGACAGTCCTGGGCAGACACACTGATTGTGAGGATTATGGAGGTCAGATATTGTTCTTAATTTTGAAGAGATGTTTGACGTACTCGCTCACGTGGTTTAATTCATTCGTCTGTCTCTGCCCGGGAACGTCACTGTGGGCTCTCAGACCTGAGGTCAGGTCCTGCCACATTCATCATAGAAATATCCCATGAGGCTTCGTTGCGTTGACGTTGCAGACCTTTCCCCTCAGTGGCCTTGCATATTACGCCGACGTAACCATCTTTTTTTGGGAATCGTCTGCATGAGTAACTTAGGAAGTCTTGCAAAATTTGCCAGTACTAAAGATAAAGTTATCCAGATTTAGTTTTTATCATGTGTGCCACGAGTTGGAATGAGCAGTGCCTAGCCATCCAGGTCCTTCTGCAGCCAGATCTTTGGCCTGAAATTCTGTTGCCATTTGTTTACGGGGACTGGCACAACTGACGAGACTAAGATTGGAAAAGTTAATAATATAACCTTAACAATAAGTTCATTGTTTTCACTGCCCAGGACTAAGCGTTACACCATCAGGCTCATTTATTCTCATCATGACTCTGCAAGCATGGTCAGGTTAGCACCTAATTTACAGGGATCAGGAACATGCTTGGAAACTTTGTAGGAGTCATGCTAAGTGGCTGCTGGATGTGAACCTTGATCTGCCTGACATCTCACCACTGAGCGGTAGCAGAATAATTGCTCCTCTGACTGACACAGTCACGCTGGTTGCTGTGTACCATCGTCGTTTAGTACCTAATTCCTGCTCTCCCAGGTCTGATGGTAACAATGCTGAGGCTAACACAAGTTGGGTAAAACGTTGTTGACTTGACTGGTCAGTTAGGTCCACCACAAGTGAACTGGCAGTCTCTCGTCTCTTAATTCTCGCTCTCAAGGGGAGAAACTGACTCATCATTGCCAGCACCTGACTCAGTTCTGCTCGCTCCTGATAGGAGACCACGTG